GCCCCAAAACCAATTTTAATTTTGGGGGGGGAATGGCGCCAGGGCTTTGGAGGAATGGGAAGTTTCAGAGGTGGGATCCAGCAGCAGCACTTTGCCCATGGCTAATTTAAAATAGCAGGCATTCATCTTCTAGCTGGCAGCCTTATGGCAGGCTCAATTTGACTGGTCAAGGCTTTGGGATACGCTTTATAAACTCTGCCTACAAAAGACCAGAAGTGAGAAATGGCTCAACATACACACACAAATACACATGACCACCTTTTTACCATGGTGAATGGCAATGTTTAAATTTGCCTAGCAAGGGGAAAAGGAAGTCCATATTCTTTGAAAGTCCCTTTCCTTTAGTACATTAGGACTGTCAGCTATATGATCAAATGTGATTAAGGCACTGAACTTGTTAAAGTTTTTCAATATCTTGGCTCAGTTATTCATCAAAATGGAGACTGTAGTCAAGAAATGAGAAGAAGATTAAGACTTGGAAGGATGGCGATGAAGGAACCAGATAAGATCCTTAAGTGTAAAGTTGTATAATTGAACACCAAATTGAAAACAGTCTACTATACCATGGTATTTCCTATTTCTGGATATAGATGTGAAAACTGGACGATGAAGAAAGCTAATAGGAAAAAAGCAAATTCTTTGAAATATAGTGTTGGCAGAGAGTTTTACAGCTACTATGGTCATCCAAAAACATAAATACAGTCAGCCCTCTGTATCCATAGATATTTTTTTTTAATCCATGGAATCATGTATCCATAGTTTGAAAATATTCCAAAAAGATATAAATTCCAAAATGCAAATCTTGATTTTGCCATTTTATATCTGGGACACCATTTTACTATCCATTGGATTTAATGGGACGTGAACATCCATGGATTTTGGTATCCAAGGGGGGTCCTGGATGCAAACCCCAGAAATACCAAGGGTCCACTGTAAATGAATCTCTGCCACAATTTGATTCTCTTCCTTCAGGTTTCTTCACTGTCCAGCTTTCACACCTATACATAGGCCCTGTACAGACCGGCCACAAGGGCCGGCCTGAGGGTGCTGTCAGGGCATGGCGACTGCACATTGGACACCCTGACTCTACCCTCACGTCGTCCTCATGCCACCTACCCAAACAGATGGTGGGCAGCATCAGGGCGTTCCCTTGGCACACCGTTTAGACATGTTGCCCAAAGGAACGCAGAAAAGCCGCCGCCACTGCTGCAGCAAGGGCGACTTTTGCTGCTTCAAAATGGAGTGGCATTTGACAGCTCTTTTTGGAGCAGCAAAGTGCCGGATCAGGGCCACGGCATGCAGTTACCATGGCCTCGATCCAGTGTTCCCAGGGGCCGCATGAAGCCGCCCCTTAGGGGCTGTCTATAGAGCCTCATAGAAATCAGAGATGCAATGGCCTGGATTTTTTTTTTACTTTGATATTCAATGATGTCTTTACACTTGAGGAACTTCTCTAGTTCCTTCATGGCTGCCTTTCCAAGTCTTCGTCAAGGTTACTATACAAATAAATAAAAGCTTAACAAGTCTTTGAGAGCATTTTAAAGTATGTGTGTATGTGTTTGGATTTGGGAGGAACAAAATTAAGTGCTGAACGGCCTGCCAGCATTAACGCCTAATTGTCCCCCAAGTGACACAGGCTACAAATCCAGAATTCTCAAACAACAAGCAGTCTCTTAGCAAAGAGTGTTACCTGGTCCTAGATTCCAGGACTGAACTTTTAGATACAGCTAGGGGTATCTATAGCAAAGGTGGGGGACAGAGGCAGATGGTTACTCCTATGTCAGTGGGGCAGTGAATCCATTCCAGGTTTTTGACTGAATTTTAATGGAGTTGGCCAAACATTGATCCTGCCTGGGGTAGGATTCAAAACCTTGGATAGCTCCTTTAGACCTGAGACTAAAATGTGGACCAGATTCACCACTCCACTGACATGGAAGGTGCAAGTTGCCACTGGTAGGGGATCTTTTTCTCTTCTTGATGTTGGACTCCAGCTCCCATAAATCACAGTCAGCATGACTCCTGGTTAGAGATGATGGGATTAGAGTCCCACAACATCTACACTGATAGATATCTTCATGGCTTTGACATTGCATTATTGTGCTCAGAAGAAAATCCCACTGAGCCCATTGAGTCTTACTCCCAGATCAGGGAGTTCAGGATTGCAGCCTCAGTACATAGAACGAACCAAATATATCTTCACATTTTGTTTCTTGCCGTTAACAACAAGAAGAACAACAAAACCCCCAAAGACTCCTATTTCTCTTGGTGTTTTCAACAGCCCTGTTGAATATTTTGCTAGTTGACATTTTTTGGTCCAAGTCCTGGATCCAAAGCATTGGACTCATTGGGATTGAGGGTTGAAATGTTACTGAAAATCCCAAAGGGTCATTTCGGAAAGCTAGGGAGCTTTGCAAGTAACTGAGTTGTCTTCTTGATGAGAGACTAGGTTTAGTTCCCTTTTTCCTACCACGTAAAACATACATACATACAAAACATATTTTGACATGTGGATCAAAATGGGTGAAAATGCCATTTGGCCTTCATGGCAGCATTTTCTGAATAGTTGCATTCCACTAACAGGTTAAAGCCACTCTCTTCACCAAAGTTTTTGGGATCCAATTACCACGCTTTGATCGGCTTGTGGATGGCTGTTGTGTGTCTTCCAGTCGCTTCTAACTTCTGGCAACTGAAAGGCAAACCTATCCTGGGGTTTCCTTGGCAAAGTTTGTTTAGAAAGCGTTTGCAATTGCTTACCCCAGAAGCTGAGAGAGTGTGACTTGCAAAAATGCTATTGTTGTGGT